ATGAAAGCTAAAAGCTAAGCAAAAGCCACCAATCTATTTTGCCTAAAGATGATTTTAGTGTTCTTTATGTTCCCCTAAATGACAAACCAATTTGTTACCTGCCTACATAAACATTTGCCTATATTAGCCCCAGAAATGTTTTATTTTTATTAGCCCAAACTTTATCTTTTTATGAAGACACAGGGGCCCAATAAAATTAGTGTGCAAATATAATACCCAATTTGCATTTTTCCATGGTCAGCAGAAAAGCTAAGTAAAATCAATTTGATATTAGGTCAGCATATACATCAATAAAGCATACGCTCACACAGGACCATTGTAATGGTCCCTGTAATTTCTGTGCTGCCAGAGTAAAGAGATTAAATAATATTAAATGCTCCAAAATAGCTTTGCTTTTAAGGGGAATGTAAAAAGAAAAAGAGAGTTTGGCATAAAACGGGCAATAAAGGATAATAGTTGCACAATCTCCAACTTTAAAACATTGTGACAATGATCTCAGAGGCAGGCTTCCTGCAAGACAGCCCCAGTTCAGCCAAAATTATGTTTAAGCACATTTTTGAGTACAATACAAGTCCGTCAAACAAATCATGTATTTAAGCACCTGACAGAGTCTGAATGAAAATCTGGAACTTGAAAGGTTTTGGATCCAGTTTTGAGCATTACATGCAGGACTACTGCTGGGTAGATGGTCCATGCACAAGTGAGGCTTTGCTAAGGAAAAACCCTCTGTGCTCCAGACAGGGCTGACTGAACGTGGTGGCAGGTGAGGAGAGTCAGTGAGCAATGAGGGTCCCGTGTAACAGTGCTACCCCTTCATGGGAACCAAGATACTGCTGCCTCCCATTTCAGGTAAAAGTACATAGGAATAGGTGTCTGACTTCCAAAACCAGTAGTCCAGTCTATCTCTGTGTCGTACAAACAGCATCATTTTGACCTTCTGTCTCAGCTTCTTCGTGCTGCTCAAGCCAGCTATACGAAGGCAAGAAAGAAAAGCTTGTGTATATCTCACCTCAGCAAGTCCAGTGGGATTTGGTAGTGACCAAAAACGTTGTTGTTTTGCACTCTCGTGTTGCTGAGATGTGCGCTCTTACCCGAAATGACATTTGTGGCCAGAAGTAACAAAAATAAATGGGATTAGGTGCTGATCTGGTCTCTTAGGAAAAAACCAGAGCACGGTAAATGCTGCTTGGATTTGATTTGCTAAAGCAGTTTAATGTGGTAGAGATGAGGCGCTTGGGGCAGCACCGACATTGGTGTTCATTTTTGACGCAGATGTTGTGGTTCTGTTGGGCACAGCCAAGCTGAGGTGGCACAGGGAGGTGTAAAGCAACAGAGCTAGTTTGGTTTCCTCAGTGGAGTCTTGAACTCACAGGGGTTTGGTTATAAAACGCTGGTAACAGCCCACCTCATGCTGCAAAGTACCTGAGAAAGGAAGACAATAATGGAATTCATTTGCAATGGATACACGTATTTCATTAAAATATACGTAGGTATTTAAATCAAATGGTTATTTGGCCATATGCTTTTAGGATGATGGATTTCCGTTTCTTCTGATTGGAGCCTTCTGGTCTTCTACAGATGACAAGCTTTTTCTAAGTGGCTTGCCTCAACTTTGAAGTCCTCTACAAAGCAGAGAAATTCACTTCCAAGTTCTCCTGATGGGCACCAGTCTAAAGGCTTTCTGAAACAGAATTCTAGGGTCGGACTTGCTCATCCTTTGTACTCCATCAGCCTTAGTGCTAATTTGTGAATTTAAAGCGTTAGCACACCATGGCTACAAGACCTAAAGAAATCACAAATCTGCCGTCCGTTTCCGGTCTGATGTGGTAGTAGAAAAGATCCTGGATGTCAAGTGAAGTCCTACCTCGGTTCTGTTACAGTACTTCATTTTGGCAGTGGAAGTGGAATTCCATAAAATGGATTGAAATTGCTTGAAATTTTTAGATACTTATTAAGCTACTACATACAAATACTGTCATTTTCATGTTTTTATAGTAGCATAAAAATGAAAATTGAATGAAAATGGATAAGTGAATTTGTTGCCTTCCTGTGAAGGTTTAGAATTTTATCAGACTGTCTTTTTTATTAAGTAGAAAATGTTTTCTGTGCAACCCTGTTTTAGTTGCAGTAGTGTAATGTGTAACCAGGAGTGGAAATTGTTGTTTCCTGGTTGAAAGGTGGGGGAGTGTTGCCAGTGGGATTGCTTTAAGTGACTGGCTTGTACATGCTGCAGCATTAGAGGGTGAGGAACATGAGTTGAGGGCCAAACAGAGTGAGTGATATTCGGAGTGAGAGATTTGAGCTGCTTGCCTGCAATTAATTGAGTTTCTTTTCCTTGTGACATTTGCTAGGTGTTTATCACCACTGTGGTAACTTGATAGCCAGAATAGATGTTGAGGTTAATGTTGTTTGTTCTGACTAGCACCTTAGATCCTCACAGCTTTGCCCAAGGGAATTCTCCTCTGCAGCAGAGAGACAGGATGGCAGTGGGTGAGTAGCAGGATATGAGGGTGTAACACACAGTGGCAGATTGTTTAGGTCCAGTCAGAAGTCAAGGCAAATATTATCAATTATGGTGGTAGTGGTAGCCTTCAAAGGGAAAAGAAAATGTTTATTTCAATCTTCAAGATACTTTCCAGAAAAGAAAATAAAAAAAAAGAAACAATTCCAGGCACATGCCTATATTTCTTTCCTTAGAAAACTGGTTTTGTCAAATAGTTTTGTTTCTGAAATTCACTGCTGTGGCATTTAGAAGGGTAGAAGTGGTACCACAACAGACTATTTCTCTGTGTTTCCACAACTCTCAAAGTTGTGGCTAAATGGACTGTGCCTTTCTGTCATTTTGCTTAAGTGCTTTTGGCATCTACTAAACAAAGCTATACACTTCTAATCGTCTTAATTTTGATTGATCTTTTAAATCCTGAAGTAGAAAATAGGATGCATTTTCAATGTAACATTTAAATTAAAATATGAAATGGTATTTTGTAGTTGTTTAGTGTGTTAATTTTGGCCAGCAGCCAGATGCCCAGCCAGATGGTCTCTCTTATCCAGGACAGGGTGAGAAAAATAAGATGGAAAGGCTCATGGGTCATGATAAAGACAGGGATATCACTTACTAATGACCATCGTGGACAAAGCAGACTTGACTTGTGGGAAATGTAATTTATTGCCAATTAAAATAGACTTGTATAGTGAGTAATAATGATTGTAATAACTGTTATGAACCATAAATAGAAACAATATTGTAACTGAAGACAAAGCCAAAAAACACCCCAAACTAATCCTCTGTCCAAAAGATTTCCTAATCAGGGTGCTATTCCAGATCCAAAGAGTGGTAGTCCTGCTGCTGAGCATCATATTCATGCTGAGCCACAGTCCCTTTAATCTAATGCTGGTTTTCCAAGAGGGGAGGGAAACTCCTCTCCTTCTGCAAAAATGATCCCAGACTTTTGCTTTTGTTTTCTAAAGTTGTTTTGCTGATTTGTCTCCTTCCTCCCACACTGCTTGATGTTAATGCAAATGATGTGGGATGGTCATTGACTCCTAGCAGACAGTGTTGTTTTCCTTTTTGCTGCCTCCCACTTTTCTTCTGCAGACAGAATTGACCCCACCAGCTGCTATGTTTCTCAGAGACATTCTTTCTTATATTTTTTTTTGCCTCTGGGGCTGAAAAACGCTAGAGAATGGTGAAGCTGGTGTATGAAAGAACAAATGAACGGCTGAGTTACAGGCAGAGCAGCTGTAGGACTTCTAGAGATGCTAAGGAAATTAAAGGAGAAACCAGCGATTGTCTCCTGAGAACAACAAAAAATGTATTGATTATTCCTGTGGTGCTGTGAGGTGTGATGTAGCGTTGGGAAAACTGAGCATTTCTAAGAATTAAAAAATTAGCTCAGTTATGCTCTAAGGACTCTCAAACATCTTTGAAAATAAAAGTCTAACTTTGGATATATATGCAATGCATCTACATAATTGGAATTGGGGAAAAAAAAAAAGAAAGCTTGGATTTAGTTCCCAGTCTCCTTACAGTGTGTAAACTTTTTACTGCAAAACAAAGATTTAAACTGTCTCTTGCAATTGGAGCCTGCTTAGCATTACCCCTGCTGTGTGTGTTCAGGTTGAGATAAGACATCTAACTGAAGTCCTGACCTCTCATAGTCGTTAAAATTCCCAGAACCCATTTTGAAAGAGCATCATTTTATTTCCTGTTTATTAAATGCAGTCACAGCATCTCTCACAGAGAAAAGATGCTGCTTGACCCATGTAGTTTAAGGCTGAAGAAAGTGGTCAAAGTGTTGTGGTTTCAGTACTTAGGGATTAACCCATATTAAGTTCAGTATAGTTGGGATCTAAATCTCCCTTCCACCTATCTGTAATTTGATGGGGACATGGCACATTTTTGTGCCATCACTGGAGAAGGTTGCTGGATTTAATCCTGGCCTGTTTTCCATATGTTATTTATTTTTGAACTTTTCTTTCAGTCAGGGCAGACGCAGTCCCAAATAGTTACCAGATTTTTGAAAAATAGCCTCCAAATCCTCCAGAGCAAAGCCTAATAAATGTAATTTGTAGCACTTTACTGTCGCTTGGCGCTGTTAAGGCTTGTGCCAAGTGTAATGCAGGGTGCAATGGGCTTTACCTTGTCGCTGGACCCCCACAGCTATTCCTGTGGCCCCAGGGGGACATTTATCACAAGTGAGAGCAGTTAAACTCGCTGTAGTAAATCTTGGCTTTTAAAAAAGAGCCAAATTTGTTGTTTCAGGTTTGGCTCCACGTCATTAGTTTTGCAGCCCGTGTGCACTCTGCTGTATGTCCTGGCATGGAGACCTGGTGTCTTTGCCTCTTCTGGTTACAGACTGTGCCTATTTATAACATATGAGCAATTTTAATGAAAGGGTGTGCTTTGAAAATTAACAGTCCTTTGTTGCTACATCTGGGTCTGAGTTTAAGGATCTTTATTTCTCTTTTTCCCCTCTGCCCCCTGCCCCCTTCTTCTGCAGCAAACCTGCGCCCAGGGGCTGAACAGAAAGTGGTGTTCATCACTGCACGGGTCCATCCAGGGGAAACACCATCTTCCTTCGTCTGCCAAGGTGAGTGTCTGCATGGAGGTGGCAGATCTGGTGGGATCTGCTTTCCAACTGATGCATGTATTTGGTTTGGATAGCTTTGACTGTGATAGAAGGCTGAGCTCACATGAGGGATTTTCCCATAGTGAAATGAAGTACTAGACTTTTTAACCTTTTGTAACTGAAGTATAGTTAACTTCTAACCTCTAGGAAATAAAGCATACATCAGGAATTATTTTTGGGACCAACAATAATCACGTGACGTACCTAATGTCAAAGTGATGTATCCAATATTGTGCTTCAAAGACCAGACACAGGAACTGAACTGGTATAAACTGGACTAGTGATCTGGCTGTTAACAGAGATGGCAGAGAGCATGCACAACAGGGGAAGTTCAGGAGTTTAACCAAGAGGAAGACCTTGAGCCTTCATCTGAAGACCCTCTGGGTGATAACATGCATGCATAAGGAGGCAGAAACCATGTAAATGAGTTCTGGGAAATAATTAGCTTAAACCTGCTCATTCCATGAAATATAATGAATATATATACTATGAGTGAATATAATATGCACATGTTAGGAGGAGACATCCCCTGTGCTACCTGGTGCCACAGCAAGGAATACCTGCTTCATGGCACTTGGTGGTCATTGAGTGTCTTTGCTTGAACAGTGAGGATATTGGCAAAATCTCTCATCAAATACCCAGCTGCCTGTCTTTTTTGAGGCAATAGGAATAGATAATGTCCAAGTCTCGTGAATGTTTGCTGAACTCGGTCAGAACTGGGCTCTGATACTATTTGGGAAGAATTGACACAATGTGATCACATAAGGCTCCTTTTCTTAGTAAAATGGGCTGGAAAAGCTCTGGGATTGGTTCTGTCTTAATTCTTTATGCTTTCCTGCTGGCTTCTAATTCCAGCTTCTTTTCCACCACAAAGCAGTGACCCTAGTTCTCCAACAGAATTCCAAGAGGCCTCTCTTTGTCTGAAGCTGCTGCTCCGAGGAGCACAGCTCCCAGTGGCTGACAGCTGTTTGCCGCACAGAGCATTCCTGCTAAAAATAGAAAGCAAAATGCCCAGCTTGTATTCATAAAGAGTTGTAAATCTCGGGCTTGTGGGTACAAATAAATAAATAACCCTGGCACGCATTGACATAACTTCATTGTACAGGTCTGAAATGCTGTACTTATGTATGTGGCTGTCTGTAGTGGTCAGGTGTTGATGGAGCAAATCAACAAGGGCAGGGGCAATTTCTTAATTCACTGCAGCAGCTCGGACCGGGCCCTGCTGGCCGACGAGTTGCATCAGTCAAGCACATGCAGAATTTATTACATTGTCTGCTCGTAGTGCCGCAGACTGGTTTGCCACTGGCCCTGTTGGTACCTAAAGACCTCGGTGGGAAAGGTCTGGCACAGGTTCGTGGTCTTCTCCGTGCGCTCCTCATCCTGGCAAGGTCCTGTGTCTGGCACCTCTCTGAGGCAAAAGGTCAACAGCTGTCACTTCTGCTGCCCTGGCCCCGTGGGCTAGCAGGACACTCAGCCTCTTCTTGTTGGCCTGTGGAGTAGCAAAGGTAAAACCCTTCCTTTAGTAAAACAATGCTTCAGACTGAGAGCAGGGAAACTCAATGAGTTTCCCATCTCCTGCGGTGCCATAGTCAATGCAGGGCATTACGGCACACATGATGTTTGCTAATGAATATGGATTTTTAATTGGCTGCTTTGATTCTGTTTGTGGCTGCTGGCATAGCCCTGTGAAATGAAAGCTGAGGCGTGCTGCTGAGGTGGTACTTTGTAAATGATGTTATTTTATTTTGATAATGGAGAGTTTATTCAAAAGGGAAATAAAAAAAAAAGGGAATGTGTAAAAGCAGGTGGCATGCTTAGCCTGATGAAACAACTAGATAGAAGTCATGCTCTGATTGTCTCAGAGAAACTTTGTATTTTGTAGGGAAAAAACACCCCAAACAAAAAGAGAGCGGGAAAGATAAGAAAAATTAATAGGGAGGTCTTGGAGAAGCTCATCAGAAACTTGCTGTGGCTGCAGTTATAAGGCATGCTTGACTCGTTTGGAAATGCATGGATCCACAGGCACTGAACTCTTCAGGGCACTGAGCCATTCTGCCCAGTGCAGACCAAGCTGCCTTGTGTGCATAATCAGTGTCAAGACAAGTAGAAATGTCAGCCATTTCAAGGCCACTGCAGCATCGTTTCTAGCACTGCCAAATGTGAAATTGGGTGCTTGCTCCATCTTTGGAAACTTCTATGTGGGAGAGTCAAAGGAAGGGATAAAAAAACATTCATTTGGCAGTCAAGTGAGGGCACACTTAGGGATTTTATTTCTGGAGTCTTGGGAAGCTTTTTGGCGTATATAGGTATTGCAGATTTTATATCCAGATGCCAGCTCAGTGCATATGGAACATGTCAGGATTTTTTTTTTTTTATTAGTGAAGAGATTTCTTCTTGCATGTTTGATTATGCTCACCACCTGAAGTATTAAGATATGAAAGCTAAGATTTCTCAGAAGCAAGCAGCCTCTCACATTTGGAAGAGCAGAACTGTGACTGCCCAGGCCTGGAGAATCAGTCCATAGGGGAATAGATAATGAGTTACTAGCTTTATTTACTATTCTTGTTCTTCATTTTTTTCCAGTTGATGTTGGATTGTATTCAGTTCAGGCTCTGTCTTCCTCTTGAAAGCCCTTAGATAATAACTGACTCCTTATTCATTTTTCTACCTGTCTTTGAGCTAACCAGGTCTCTTCCTGACCTCTTTAGCCTTCTCTCTGCCAAGGGATACAAAGCTATGTAGTCCAAACACCAGCTTCCTGGGGCCTGACAGAAGCTACCTGTTACATTCTCCATTTTTTTGATTAGACAAGGTCCCCGAGAAGCAGGTTGTCTTGCCTTAATACATCAGGATATGCTTGGTCCTGTCTACTGGTCCTTTGTCCTCCACTTTTCCCACATATCATAAATCTAGGCAAGGATCTTTGTGTTACTTTAGGAAAAAAATGTAAGGTCGTCTCCCCGTTCAGAGCTGGATTGTTTCTGCATCGTCCTACTTCATGTTCCACTATGAAGAATCCACTGAAAACTGAATTTTGGATACAAATACCCTGCATTCCTGCAAACGTGTAAGTGTTATAAACTTGGATACACATTTCTGTCTCCTTCCAGCTGTGGAGTGCTTGCAGCAGTAGCCAGACTTCCCTAGAATCATCAGGCACCTCACTCAGCAGTTAAAAACAAGTGCTATAATATTTCACACATGGTGCAGCTGCTGAGCTGTAGTTCAGTTCCTTAAAAGGCAGACAAAACACTGGAGGGCCTCTTCATAAAAAGATGGATTAAGAACCTTTTGTTTCCATTTTGGTCTTTTAAGAGTTATTACAGTGCTTCAGGTTAGCCTTTTTAGGAAGTTTTCCTGATGGTTCTTAAGTTGTTGTGAAGTTCAGGGACAGAAATGGAGAGTCAATCACCAGAGAGTATATTCCCATGAGTACCCTTCATAACCAAAGGTAGGATGGTGTTTCTACTCCTCACACAGTGATGGTCACCATGAGCACTGATGCTTGTTTCACTTTTGGGGATGAATAAGCAGGAGTAGCACTCAGGATAAAGAGGATTTGTTTTCAGTTTGCTCTTATAGACCATTTTCTAACTGGTCTATAATCACTGCAGCTCCTGGAGGGCTTTTATAGTCAGCACAAAGCAGTGCAAAAATTCATCTTACAGCTTGAACTCATTTCTCATGGGCTGTTCAGATTTCTGAGAGATTTTTCTCAACTTGTGGTTTTAAATTCTTTTCCTTTTTTTTTAGATATTTCCCATAATTTTCCTTCCCCACAGTACCTTTATTTAAGAAAATGTATACTATTTTCTCTTTCACTCTGTGTTGTTAAGGCAAGTAAACTTACTCTTACAGGTAGGGTCAAATGTCAAGTAATACCTATAAATGTATGTAGTGTGCACCAATATGTGTGTGTAAAATCTGTGCAGGCCCCTACCCTCTAAACACTGATCATAAGCCAGCTTTCAAAAGGCTTGGATTTTATCCAAGATATGTTAATAGCAGTATTCCCCCCCACACTCTTACCCCCAATGTTCTTATAGTCTTATTTTCCTTCCTGAGGTTGCTAGATTTTATCTTTTTTTTTTCATGGTAGAAAAGCAACTGTCTCTCACTATCATGTGCTTGTAAAGTTGTAGGAGACACTGTGACTACTATGTTTAAGTTTATCCTTTATGCTTTGGCTTTTGCCAGCAGTCAGTAATAGCAAGCTTAAGCATGTCTTGATGTACCAAGACATGTACTTCACTCATTGATTTAACATATTCTGTTAGTAGGATGTCATTTGCCAATGTGGCATTCACCGTGGCATCTAAATGCAAAAATGAAAATTTGTACCCTAAGCCTCTAATATAATTTTCCAGGCCGGGAGCCCAGAATGGAAGACCCAGAGCAAGACAGGAGGGAGAGGGATCCCACAGCTGGGTTTGCAGATGCTGAGCATCCCATGCTAAGTGTAATTTGACCTGGAGCTGACCTTGAAGCTTATGGGCTGAATAGGGAACAGCCATGAAAGGAAAATATAAGGAAAATAGACCCCTGGGACTCTTATCCATAAGAAATGGAGCAAAAGTTACTTTTCAATCAGTCTTCTTTCTTTATAGCTGCTTAAATGTATGCTTCTCCTTGCTTCACCTCAAATCAGATAATATGAAATGAAGAAACAGATTACACTGGGCAATCTCTTGCTTTTCTGTTTACATTCTTGGTGTGTGTTTTTAACTCCCATCCTCTTGCCAGAGGGCAGGAAAAAAGAATCTGAAAACCTTTGTACAAATTTTGATTATGCATTTAAAGAATGGGGTAGAAGGGGACAAACTGGCTGAAAACAAGTCTCCACCAGCTGTTTCCTGAGTCCTGTTGTTCTAGCTCACGGAGCTAGTGGTTAACTGAACTTGCTCTCTGTGTGACCAAGGTGCTCAAGGTGCTATGAAGGATTTTATTCCTGGACAGATTCC